CAAAGGCTGGGGACTGCTGCTTTTTCGGATACCTAATTTTCTCTCACAACTCAGCAAGTTTTAACATCAGGAAAGCAGGTTTACTGCCTGCTCACCAGGCACTGTGGATAAGAGTGTACTCTCTGAGAATAAGCATAAGCAGACAGACACCTAAACAGATGTCCAGTTCCACAGGGTGTGGCATCAGCAGTGGAATCCTCTCTCTTACGTTCCTTCTTCTGTCATCAGTACTGGATTGTATGTTCTATAAATGGTCAACATTTTTCTAATTCCATAGCTTTTGCTAATTTCAAAGGAAAATGCCGATTATACCACTGGCTCAGCATGCGCTCAGGTAAATACTCATTCCATTCTCCCTGTCTCCTTCCTCCATTTCCTGGTGTGTATGTTTTCCAAACACCATCATCAATTAATAGTACACGTGGAGGCCTGTAGGAAAAACACCTGATCTAGAAGTTTCAGTAAAATATGACCCATTTTTCCTTATGCATATGAGTTGGTCCTCCTTTTTTTGAAAATCATGCACTTCAAACTTTAGAGCACTAGGTTTTCAGCCCTGATGTGTGGAGAACAAAATGCAGCCTCTTCATCATTTCTAAAAAGCAGCTGAATTTAATCTGCCTCAGTCAGACTTCACCTCCCAGTTTCCTCACATGCCCGATTGGCGTTGTGACGTGTGACTGTCCAGACCGGCCCTGTCTGTCATGAGGAAGGAGATTTCCTGCCAGGATATGATAATGTGCTTCCCATTGCTGCTGACAGCGGGGGGCCCAGACCTCTTGGCTCCATGGGGGCGATTTTTAAACTTCTTTTTCAATTTAGAATTAAAATCAAAGCAGTACCATCTGTCATGTGAATCTGCCATGCCAGGGAACTGAGCGTGATCCATGGCCTGGATCTTGTTTAGACCACGTAAGTGATGGCGGCCCACACCATCCCATGTGTGTCTTTCATAGCTTTGATCAAGAGCTTAGCATTTGTGCCTGCAGAGGTGAGGAGTGCAATGAGTGGGGGGACTTTGAGGTGTGAATATTTCCACTTCCTATTCATTTCACATTCATATTTGGCTAGATCCTGGATGGACACATTGTGTCCCAGAAATGGCATTTGCCTCACAAAGGACAAGCCCTGCTAAGCAGAGCTCTTCCTTTGCACCAAGCCCCAGACAACTAGGTGCTTAATTGTTGTCAACTTGCTTAAGTAAGGAGTGTCTTGCAGAAGGAAAAAGACTCTAGGGACAAAAAATATGTTCATCTCTACATGTTGAGCTGTATGAAGTGGCAGCCAAGAGATTCTCATGGGCTGCCATCAGGAGCTGTGGCAACAGTTCAGGGATCTGCTGTTCCCAGCTCCACAGCCTCAGCCAACCACAACTCACTGCCTCCCTAGCTGGACTATAGCCGTGACCCAGCCATAGGGGTAACCAAGGCTAAGCGCCTCCAAGCTCAGTGAGCTCTGGTGTGGCTTGGGATGCTCAGAGATCCAGTACCTGTTAGAAAGGTGCATGTGCCCAGATCCTGGAGGAGACGCCTTACCCAGGATTCACTAGAAAACTCCACAATATTCCAGTTGTTGCCTTAAAAGGTGATGAGAAACCTACTGGCTACCCAAGGCATTTCTAAAGGGGTTGAGCATATACTAACAATGGCTGAACATCAGTTTTTCCCCCTGTATTTTGAGTTTTGTTGATCTAGTGTTATAATGTGTTGTTGCTGATACCTTATCACTGTCTGATCAAGCGATTAAATTTGCCCAGGCAGTCAATAATTTTTGAGATGAAGACATCTTTCTCTGTTTACTGAGTTGGAGTTTCCCTCCATCTATTTAAAAATTTCAAATCTCGAAACAATGTCTAAAAACATCTGGAGACTGTGCTTTCATTGCTCTTAATTTATTGTACAAGTCTTTGCCCACTGACAACTATGTTTAAAGTTTTGCTAACACTATGTTATATCAATCATTGGGATACCGTCTTTGCAAATC